CCAACATCTAGGGTTTTTGACTTTTGTTGGCGGTTGCCGGAGTTGACACCGCCTGTACATTCATAGTTCGCCGATCGGTCTCTCCGTCGCGAGCCACCACCAGCCGCCGTCTCACGCGCCCTCACGCGTGATTCTTGTTGCGATGCAGTTCACTCCGTTGGACTCGTCGGCCCTTCCTCTTCCCGTTTTGACCCTTTTCAGGTTGTGGGTCACACTCTAGGTGGTCTATTGGTGGTCATTTGGTTGCTGCCTCGGAGTTCCGTGGTTGTTTGGTTGCTGTCCTGCTTATCGACGTAAGGGGGAGTGAGAAATCTTGCTTTGGATGCGGGAATGTATGTTGGGTAGTGGGATTGGCCTCCAATCCTATGTTTGTTATATGCTTATTTATGAGGAGTTTTTCCCAATTATATATGTTTCTTCTATTTGCTCTGTTTATATGTAAATATAAATGTGTAATTTGAGATCTCTATGGGTTCCCATGGGAAACCCTAAGGGAATGCATTGGTAATTGTAAGAGGCAAATTTTAAATGTTTTTTGTTTTACCTTCTAAGTTTTCTATTGTGGTCCTTGATGTTTGTTGAGTGTAAATATGTGTCTAATTTTGAAAATAAACAAGTTTTGATATGAATTAGAGTGTTATGTGGGTTCCTGTGGGAACCCTATGAGAAACAAGCATATTTTTAATATTTTCTATTTTACCTTTTGATTGTTATGTTGTATTCCTTGTTGTATGAGATATATGAATATGTATTTAATTTCGCAAATAGATGAGTTTTGATATGAATTAAAGTGCTATGTGAAAATGGTGAATATGATGTGATAATGTGATGATGAGAATATGATGATGAAATGTGATGATGAGATGTGATGATGTGATGTGTTAATGACATGATGATAATGAGACATGATAATGTGATATGGGAATGAAACATGATAATGTTATATGGGAATGAGACATGAAAATGTGATATGAGAAACACATGGAGTCTTGATTGACATGCATCATATGCATAAATATTTTTAAGGGTACGATATGGAATACACTGCCAGAGAAGGCCCCTAGTGTAAAAGCTTTGGGGATTAGTCCTTGGAGATAGCTCGGTTTGTAAGTCCCAGTCTCGTCTATTGTGTGCATGAGATGTATCTTGCGCAGCTTAGCTATCCCGACGAGACTCTAGTAGTATGTCCTTCTAGTGAGAGTGCGCAGGGGTTGTGACCCGGCATGTACTCCTACTAAAATGACCTAAAAAGATTAGGTTGGAACGGGCCGTTCCAACACACGATTTTATGAGTAATATGCGATCCCATAAAGGGTCGTTCTGGTTTGAAAACGGGCTGTTCTGGATATGAAATTTGCATAGGACGAATGAGTCCAGAACGGGCCGTTCCATATTCGAAACGGGTCGTTCTGGTCACACCTGATGCCTATAAATAGAACGTTCTAGCACTTCAAAAACGCATTTTGTTCACTTTTGACCTTTTTTCTTCTATATTCTCTGAAGACCAAGGGGAACTCAAAGGAGGAGATTAACAAGGTCTTGTTTTGGTTTCAGCTCCTGCTTATCGACGTAAGGGGGAGTGAGAAATCTTGCTTTGGATGCGGGAATGTATGTTGGGTAGTGGGATTGGCCTCCAATCCTATGTTTGTTATATGCTTATTTATGAGGAGTTTTTCCCAATTATATATGTTTCTTCTATTTGCTCTGTTTATATGTAAATATAAATGTGTAATTTGAGATCTCTATGGGTTCCCATGGGAAACCCTAAGGGAATGCATTGGTAATTGTAAGAGGCAAATTTTAAATGTTTTTTGTTTTACCTTCTAAGTTTTCTATTGTGGTCCTTGATGTTTGTTGAGTGTAAATATGTGTCTAATTTTGAAAATAAACAAGTTTTGATATGAATTAGAGTGTTATGTGGGTTCCTGTGGGAACCCTATGAGAAACAAGCATATTTTTAATATTTTCTATTTTACCTTTTGATTGTTATGTTGTATTCCTTGTTGTATGAGATATATGAATATGCTTTCTACAGATGTCTTTTCGGTTGACTCAGATCTCCTTTCTCAGGTTTGCCTATTCCTCATTTTGATCCCGGTGTGCCTTCTACACCTACTACTTTAGAGGCACCAGAGATTCCTAGCACACAACCAGGGTATGATCGTCCTCTACACCGATTTGGGATAACCTATGAGCGTCGGTCACATACTATTGTTCCTCCCAGTACTTCTACAACTGAGTCATGTGATTCTGCCCCTGCTTCAGTCTCCTTACCTACTCCGGCCCCACCTACCTCAGTTGACTTGCCCATTGCTCTTCGTAAAGGTAGTCGTTCTACTTGTAATCCTCATCCTATTTATAACTTTCTTTCATATCATCATTTGTCTCCTACCTATTATGCTTTTGTCTCTGCTATTTCCTCTATTACCATTCCCAAGACAGTACAGGAGGCCTTAACCCATCCAGGATGGCGACAAGCAATGATTGATGAGATGACAGCTTTAGACTCCAACCACACTTGGGTACTTGTCCCACCTCCGCCTGGAAAATCTGTTGTTGGTTGTCGGTGGGTATTTAATGTTAAAGTGGGCCCTGATGGACAGGTGGATAGATTGAAAGCTCGTCTTGTGGCTAAGGGATACACGCAAGTATATGGTTTGGATTACAGCGACACCTTCTCTCCAGTTGCGAAGATGGCCTCAGTTCGTCTCTTCTTAGCTATGGCTGCTATGAGGCATTGGCCTTTGTTTCAATTAGACATCAAAAATGCCTTCTTACATGGTGATTTGGAGGAGGAGATTTATATGGATCAACCTCCTGGGTTTGTTGCTCAAGGGGGGTCTGGTCTTGTATGTAAATTACAAAAGTCCTTGTATGGCCTCAAACAATCACCTCGTGCTTGGTTTGGTCGGTTTAGCAAAGTTATACAGGAATTTGGAATGATCCGCTGCGAGACAGACCACTCTGTCTTCTTTAGACGCTCATCGACACATAGATTTATCTATCTTGTTGTTTATGTAGATGATATTGTGATTACAGGTGATGATCAGGAGGGCATCAAGGCACTGAAGCAACACTTATTTAAACACTTTCAAACTAAGGATTTAGGTCCCCTACGTTATTTCCTTGGGATTGAGGTCGCTCAGTCAAAGTCCGGTATTGCTATTTCTCAGAGAAAATATGCCCTTGATATTCTAGAAGAGACCGGACTTACAGATTGTAAGCCAGTTGACACTCCCATGGATCCTAATGTGAAGCTTATGCCTAATCAGGGGGAGCCTTATCCTGACCCAGGGAGATATCGGAGATTAGTGGGAAAATTGAATTATCTCACCATGACCAGACCTGATATATCCTTTCCTGTCAGTGTTGTAAGTCAGTTTCTTAACTCTCCCTGTGAGAG